CCTGCCCGTGCTCGTCGATTGCCCCGCCTCTCCCAAATCTCCCCTCAACGACGCCGGCCCTCTCTCCTCCTCTTCCTCGTCCTCCACCTTCTCCCCGTCGACCATTCCCCGCTCATCCTCCCCCTCCTCTCCGTCCGCCACCACCGCCGGTTGCTGCCACGGCGCCTCGAGGTCGCCGTGTGCCTTGGCGTCGTTCCGCCTGCTGGACTGGCTCGCATCCCCCGTGCTGGAAAACTGCCCCGCCTCCATGGCGCCCGGTTCCGTCTCCCCATCCCCCTCGCACCACACTCACTGTGGTGGCCACTGCAGCGCTGCCACGAATACTACCAAGAGCGCCTCTGAAAACGCTCCACGAACTGAACGTGCGGCGGTCGCGGCGTCCCAGGGCTCCGTCTGTCCGTCCGACGGAGAGTCTCCGCCGCCAGTCCCGACAACGAGCGCGCGGCGACGCGACATGATCGTGGGAGTGAAGCTGACTGACTTCGGGGGCTCTGCGGCGATCAAGGGCGGTCTGGGCGGCGTGGTTCGCGGGCGGGGCGCGGGGACGCGCGGGTACATGGCGCCCGAGGTGATAACGGGGGAGGCGTACGGATGCAAGGCTGACGTGTTCAGCCTCGGAATCACGCTGTCCACCATGCTGACGGGGCACATCCCCGCCACGCCCGTGGATTTCTCCAAGCCCATCTGGGATAATGTGCCAGACGGTGCCAAGGATCTGATCCGTCAGATGCTTTACATGGATCCGAATCAACGGCTGAGCTCGTTCCAGGTGATGGAGCACCCGTGGCTGAATCAGCCGGACGCGAGGCGCGCGGACGTCACTGCTAGGTACCCCAGCCTGCTGCAGCCGGCAGCAATGATGACGGCGAAGATGGGCTACTCTCAGGGAAGCAGCGGCGACCTCAGTGGGAGGAGGTGCTGCAGTGCTCAGAGGATGGCAGAACCCGGTAGACAAGCTGCTGCACCGTTGGCAGGTGAAGCGGCAGCGCCATGAATCAAACAGCATGGGATGATACAGCCAGCTGCTATTGGCAGCAGCCAGCTGCTATTGGCAACTGGAGCAAGGAAAGGAGAACATTGGAACTACCAAGCTTGAAGGAGGTCTGCTGGCTTCCTGTTTGTGTGTTGGCGGCACAGCAAGCAACGCTGTGGAGTTGTGAGCAGTTGCACTTCCACGTGCACCCGGAAGTGCAACTGATCACAACACTAGCAGCTCGACGAGGTGATGAATCATGACTCATCCTGCGGTGGGTTGGGGGGGCTGCTGATAAAAGGTCAAAGCACCCATTTCGAGTTTCTTTTCTATTAATGTAGACACTGCATTGCATGCTTCTTGTCGTACGATAATATTATCAGAATTTCTTACCCCAAATCTGCCCGACTGTGCTCACAACAAGTCAAGTGGCAACCACCTGTCATGTTGAATCCTTGTAGTATCAATTTCATACAACAGGGTTCAGATGTCCACGCCAACACCTCAATCTAGCCATAACCTTTTATTCCATGAACTGAAGATATGAGTACAGGTTTCAATGGGTTAACCCACGAACATCAGGCAAATATTAACAAGAAACGGAGGATGAGGCAACCAGCAGCCACATCCGTCCCCGCACACCAGCCAGTCTCCGAAAAAGTAAACCCCTCCCCTCCCCCGCAGCAGTGCAGTCATTTGAACGTGGGCTGCATGCGATCCTCTGGCAGCTCTTCCAGCGACGACCACCACGCGCGCTCGTCCATGGACGCCCCCAGCCAGCTGCGCTTCCTCTTCTGCGGGGTCTCCGTGGTTGCAGACTCCACGAACCCGAACGAGTCCTCAGGCACCCACACCCCGGACACGGGATCCGGCTTCCAGCACTGGATCTTCCTCGGCTTGGAGGGCGACGCTGCTGATTGTAGCTCGTCCGCCTTGGCGTTGCTGCCGGGAGGTGACGCAGCTGCGGCTGAGAAGGGCCTGCGGGAAGACGAGAAAAGAGGGGCGATCGGGTCACGCATGCGATGGAACACGAACTGAGGAAAGGACGGATCGGAGGAAGAGGAGAGGGAGGGGACATCAGAAATATTAATAAAGGAACCGAGCGCGAGTGAGAGAGAAGGAGATAGGGACTGTGCGTGAGTGGGGAGTGAGAGCGAGCAAGAGGCGAAGTTTTGGCGAAGAGATAGAAGTGGCCTAACAGAAGCCTACCTAGAGAAAGCGAGGGCCGCAAATCCTTGGCGACCAGAAAGCCCTGACCCTAGCCTCCACAGATCAACAGCCGCCCTCGCCATGGCCCCCGAATACTGGGTGTGGCCCGCCGAGCTTACGGAGAACCACCAGAGAACAACCGGAGACGAGACTGGCAAGCCGAGGATCAGCTTGAACCCAAAACCGGCTCAAGACGAAATATCACGCATTTGGTTTGGTCGCCAGAATGGAGAGAGTAGAGAGGAAGCCAAAGAAATAAGGATCGTGTGCGAGGAAAAGGAACGGGTGCTTGCTGGTGATGGAAAGCGGAGGGGAAGCGGCAGATAGGATGCGAGAACATGAGGTGGCGGAGGAGCCAATATCAACATTGCATGAGAATTGACGGATCGCATAGTGCCTCGTGCTGAACGCCATTGAGAGCTCTGATTGGTGCGAAATGAAACTGGGGAAGATGGTGAGGGCGCCAGCGAGCTGAAGGAGCGTCACATACACGTCAGAGGGCGACATGAGTGTCTTGGGAAAGGTGGAGGTGGTCCCCACCACCTGAATTTGGGAGGGAAAGTATATCGGCGCTCAGTATTAGGGGTCTCGATAACATGTACGGTCAGTGACACGATATGAACAATCAGAATTAGCGGGTTCTCAACATAATTCATCAGTCGGGTTCAACCGTTAGTCAGAAACAGCGGGAACAAAGTTCCACGAATGGTCAGTAGAAGTAACCCCCGCCCATCTCGGAACGTTTTCCTGCCCGCTTCAGCCCAATTTCATCATCATTGTGGCTGTCGCGATATTTTTCCCGAGCTCCAGGCGCAGTTCGAGCAAAACAACGCACAATGCCACAATTAGAATACATTGAACATATGTTTTTTTTTTCGAGAAACACGAAAACACGATTATGTTACAGATTTTTTTTTGGAAATGAATATGTTTAAAAGCACATCAATGTACTCTCAGAACCGCATTTATTTTTGTATTAATTTCAATACAAAAAATCTATTCGAAGTCTGTCGATTGTCTTTTGAATTTTTCAACAAATGTATTTACCGGAAAAGTTTTCCACCGAATTACGACTCTATAGGTCTTGTTATGCTGGAAACAAATTAGCGCATGCACACTACAACTTAATATTCACGCCTCATTGGCTTAGCGCCGATCCCGGATAGATTTGCCCTTTTGTGTCAAATGTTTTCGTTTTTTGTGCCTTTGTTAATGTTTGAAAAATGTCGCACCCGATGTGCGGCCCGCTGTGACCTAATTAGCTTATATGATATAAATACGCGAGGTCTCAATTTTGGAATTTTGTGTGCGCGACGTCCAACTTTTGTGTGGAACTTTGTATGGGAATTCTGCGTTCAATTTTGTGTCGAAATTTTAATGTGGGAATACTTAACGTAGTTATCTCGAACTGCGCCTGGAGCTTGGAAAAAATATCGCGCCAGCCGCAATGATGACGAAATTGGGCTGACACGAGCGGGAAAACATTCCGAGACGGGCGGGGATTACTTCTACTGACCATTCATGGAACTTTTTTCCTGTGTTTCTGACTAACGGTGGAACCCGACTGATGAAACATGTTGCGAACTCGCTAATTCTTATTGTTTATATCGTGTCAGTGACCGTACATGTTATCGAGGCCCCTAATACTGAGCGCCGATATACTTTCCCTATTTGGGAATGTGATTCTTAATGTTATGGATTAATCAGAGTAATAACAGGTAGTGTAATAAAGGAGTCGTGATTAACGAGTGTCGATACAAATGAAGGCCTAGGCATTTATTGGCATGAACATGGCTAGCCGAGAACCACGCGAGTAGGTCGGGGCGGTTCGGTTGGCGAAAGCCACGGAAGCGTCGCGCGTCGAGGTTTGGGTTCGCAAAGTGGTTCAGGACCGAAGAAGTTGGCCGAGCCTGGACTTCCAAGAGTCGAGGGCGTACGCGCTTTAGTCGATTCCAGTAAGGAAAAGGGAATTTCCTTATACCACCTCCCCCTTCCGGGACGAGACTTCCCACATCCGGAATACGTCGTCAGTGTGAATAGTTCCGAACAACTTTGTATTCGCCGAGCGTAGCTGCGGGTGTCATGACACTGGCTGGGATAGCCCTGTCGAACCTTTTCTCTCTCTAGAGAGGGTACTAGGGAGACTTTCCCTTGGGAAGGTGGATATATGAAGCCTAACTCACTTGAGGATATCCCTTCTTATCTCAGTGCTTAGGACTGGTGACTTTGTGGCTTGGTATCAGAGCCATCCAGGGTTCAATTCCTGGTGTACACGCTATCCCAGCGGGGGGGTGTGTCGTGGCACTAGGATAGTCCCGTCGAACCTCTTCTCTCTTTGGGGAGGATATTAGGGAGGCTTTCCCTGAGGAAGGTGGATATATGGAGCCTAACTCTCCTGAGGATATCCCTTCTTGTCCCAGTGGTTAGGACTAGTGACTTTATGACTGCGAGAACCCAAAGGTCGTCGTCACTCGTGCGATATGCCAACCATATATGTATATGTTATTATAAGCGAGACAGGTGCGTACTCTTAGAGAGTACAACCTCTCAAAACAAAACCACACTGCATATCTTTTTCTAGTTCATTCCGTTACTCTGAAATGGTATCACGCTAGGTTAGGTCCTCCCCGCCCAACTGCGCTTCCGCCCAGTCCTAGCCCTAGCCCTAGCCGCCTGTCGCTAGCCGCTCGTTCCTAGCCGCCCGTTGCTAGCCGCCGCTGCTAGGTGCTCGCCGCTCACCGCCGCTGGCCGCCCATTGCCTCGTGCCGCCCGTATCCGCCACCCACCTGTCGACACTGGCCGCCCATAGCCGCCAGCCATCCGTAGCCACCAGCCGTCCGTAGCCACCAGCCCGTAGCCGCCAGCCGCCAGCCGCCTGTCGCCCGTAGCCGCCAGCCGCCTGCCGCCCGTTGCTGCCAGCCGCCCATAGCCGCTGGCCGCTCGTAGCCGCTGGCCGCTCGTAGCCGCTGGCCGCCCGCAACCGCCAATCGCCCATAGCCGCTGGCCGCCCGTAGCCACCCGTCCGTTGGCCGCCCGTAGCCACCAACCGCCCATAGCCGCCAACCGCCCCTAGCCGCAAGCCGCCTTTCGCCCACAGGCCCCGCGCTCGCCCGTTGGCCCGCTGCTCGCCGGCCCTTGCGTGTCGGCCCGCGCGTCGGCACCTACACACCATCCCCTGCTCACCGGCCTCATCTCGCCGACCCCTGCTCGCCGGCCCCTGCCACTCCGGTCCCCGTTCGCGCCAGTCTCGATCGCTGCCGGCCCTAGCCGCGCTGCGTCGCTGAGCCGCTGCGCCGTTGAGCCACCGAGCCCTCGAGCCTCCGAGCAGTCGCGTCGCTGCACTACCAGGCTGACCTGCTGGCCTTTGCCTCCCCTTGGCGCCGGCACTCCCGCTGGCCATCTCCACTGCTCTCCACCGCTCTCCACCGCTCTCTACCGCTACCATCTGCTCTCCACCGCTCGCCTCCCCCTCCAGCGGGCAATCAGCTGCTGCAGCTGTGGTGATGGCGGACTCTGTGCTCCGCCTGGACGCGGAGGGTCGAGCAATTGATTTTTAAGCGTGGCTCGTCGACCGCCGCCTCCAGCTGCCAAGTCAACGCCAGGATGGCAATTCCCTGGCCGTCCACGTCGAGGGCAAGCTCCCTTGTCCCGCCGCGCTTGCTGCCCTCCCTGACGCCCCCACGTCTACAGAGCATGAGGCCTTTGCCACTGCCGAGCTTGCCCGGGCTGTCTGGGAGTCACGCGACGCAGTTGCACACCTTGCTATTTGTTACACCGTTGGTGTTCAAGGCGTGCTACATTGTTGAAGGCTTCATTAAGCACGAGGGTGTTGACTTCTTCCAGACCTTCGCCCCGACCCCGAAGATGACCACTCTTCGGGTGCTGCTACACGTAGCAGCACAGCGTGACTACGAGCTTCACTCCCAGGACTTCTCTACAGCATTTCTCCAAGGCACTCTGCACGAGCAAGTCTACCTGCATCGCCCGCCATGCTTCACGCAAAACCCTCAGGCCGCTAAGGGGGTTTTGCGTTATCTAGCAAGTACATCGAGCATGGGGCTAGTGCTAGAAGGACGCAGGCCAGTGGTCCGTACAGGTCACACAGAAGCTTTGTGGGCAGACGACGCTGAGACGCTCAGGTCCTCTCAGGGCTACTGCTTTAGCCTTGGTGCAGGAATCGCTCGTCGTCTGTGGCCCAATCTACCTGTGAGCCTGAGATCTACGCCGGTGCCATGGCGGCACAGGAGCTCCGCTAGCTGACTATCTTGCTCACAGACTTAGGTGAGCAGCCTAGCTCTAACCCGGTCCTGTACGGTTACAACAGGGTCATAATCGTACTGTTTCAGGAGCCTCGACTGGAGAGCAGAGCGAAGCACATCCAGCTGCGGTACTTCCTCCTACGCGAGCTACAACAGCGCCCCCAGGCCCGCGTTGTACACGTGGCCTCAGGTGCGAGTAATATGTTTACGAAGGCGCTTGCGCCTAAAGATCATCAGCGGCACTTTGTACAGCTTGGTCTAGTTCATGTATCTTCTCACCTGCTAGGACCTTGATTGTGTACTACTTTTATATTATCTTGATTGGCCTTGTGGCTCTTGTCCTAGTGGCCAGGCTAGAAGTACCGCCCAGGCTTGCTCTTGTATAGTTTGTACTCTTGCTGACTGGTCTTCGGACCCCTACCTCAGAGGTTGGACTAGTACTGCCACCCTGAGCTGTGTGTCTCTTGCCAGGCACTGCCCCTCACCTAGCCTAGGGGTTGTGTCAAACATATTGTGTATATATATCTTATAGGTTAAATAGGTATGTACCTTTAGAGGGTACAACCCCTTAGACAAAACCACCTTGTTTGCCTCATTCCAGTTATTCATTCTAACCTTGAAAGCCACTAAAAGGAGATTCCCTTTTCCGTACTGGGCTTGACTAGAGCGCGTACGCCCTCGACTCTCGGAAGTTCAGGCTTGGCCAACATCTTCGGTCCCGAACCACTTCGCGAACCCAAACCTAGACGTGCGGCGCTTTTGTAGCTTTCGCCAACCAGACCGCCCCAACCTGTTTGCGTGGTTCTCGGCCAGCTCTGTTTGCGCATGTAAATGCCTAGGCCCTCATTTGTATCGACACTCTTGAATCACGACTCCATTATTGCACTTCCTATTATTACTCTGATTAATCATAACATCTGGTATCAGAGCCCCGTTCTTGCCCGCTTGGTCATCGTTAGAGTAGTCCGTTTATATTGGGAGAGGACCCGACAGAATAGGGGGTTGGCCTGCGGTTGGTAGGTGAGCTCGTTAAAGCTCCTCCAACTAAAAGCGTGTGCA